ATTTCCATGAATGCTTGACAGCCTTTAGCGGTTGTTTTAATGAAGTCAAGTATAAATCAACATTCCTCCAGCTTTACTTCGACTCAATTCTTCGTAGCGTCACTTTTCGCATTAAAAGTTAATTGAGAGATGATTAAAACGACTTTTCCTAACCTACGTAGGCTTTGATACCAGGTCAAAAGCATTTAAAGATAAACAAAACTAAAAGTAATTAAAATTTATAAAAGCTACCTACGAATATTTGCTTGCAAGTATTATTTCTAGTGTAGAATGATATTAAATCCAGGATTATGAATAAATTGTCACTTTTGAGCGTAATGAATTTTGCGGCACATTTCAGAATGTTGTAGCACGCTTACTAGCATTTGAAAATGTCAGCATAGTAAGGGTTACCAGGGAGAATGTAATAATGCATAGACGAGCAGGATTTGCGGATTTTCCCATGCAAAATGGAACAAAAATGCAACCAAAATTGCAATATGAACGCCAGTAAGGATTTTCAAAGCGCAAAGGTGTTTATTCACGGCTTAAAGGATTATAAGATTAACATTTATGAAATTCTCACTTTTGCGATGAATTTCAAAAAGTTTCGTAGAAATGCAATTAAATTTTATTAATTATTCATTTAAAGTTACTAAAAATCTGTTTTTGCAATTTTAGGAAAATGTTATTACCAAGATAATAACCATTTAATGTGTTTCTATTGTTCTGCGGGTAAATGTAACCCTTTTGCGGGTGCTGCCCACAGCTTGCAGTCGATACCCTGGGCAGTGAATAACTAAACCCTCGACTCACCCGCATGTTTGCCGTCCGGCGTTCGTGAGCACGGATTTCGCCAGGATTGCAAGGATTGCGAGTTGCGACACGATCGCATGCACATAAATTCACGCCGTGGACTAAACTTTGAGCTTCGACTACGTATTCGGAGGAAATTAAAATTCAAAACATGGCTGAACAAACACTAAAAACACTTTTTAGAAACGTAAATAAGAAACCCACTATGCATTTACACAAAAAGTGTGTAGCCTACACTAAATCAAAGATATCTTTTAGGAAATGGAGTAAAGAAGTGTCGATAACGTTGTTGGGGCGCCGTCGGTAGTAGTTTGTGGTTTTTCTAACTGTTAGAGGCGGTTAGCGTTCATTTCTATCTTTTTGGGGCTGTTTGCAGTTAGTTATGAGACGGCAACGCCGTTAGTGTAAACGTTAGCACCATGCGTCCATCATTTACCCACACACCCAGAAGAAAATCGCCTAAAAGCACGTTTGTAACTAAGTGTAAACTTTAACATTAAAGAGCAACATAAAATCAGTCAAAATAGCTGCTACTTTAGTATGTAAATTAGGTTGCCTATATTGAATTTAACTAGTTAAACACTTTTATTTACCAAAATTCGATGTAAATGCCTGGATGGTGTTTCTGTACACATTTAAATAGATTAATTCATTGTTCAAGTGACAACAAACGTGTTATTAACGGCGTAGACGACACGTTGACATGTCAACGCCGCGCCGCCATAACGCATTCAATTGTTATGCAAATCGACGATTCATCCGTGATGAACAATGAAGCGGTAACACATTTCAGAGCTATGCTTCATGTTTCCGACCATTCGCATGCGTTCGAATGTTGTAATATTTCGATAATGGCAGAAAGCAAATGACAATGCTCGAGTTCGTTTGTTTGGACTGTTTGTAATTTTTTCAGCCGGAGTAATCAAATTTTCGGCTGCCTGCTCAACATTGTAATTTTATGCAAACGAACACAATTGGATTAACAAAGCCAATAATACAGAAATAACATTCGTAATTAAATTTTTGCTTAAATAACAAAAACGTATTTATTTAGAATTCAGTAAAATATTAATAATTTATTTATGAAAGCATAAAATATGTTTTTCTAATTTCACTCTTAAAGCGCCAGTGTTTTCACGGTTTAGAAAATAATAGTACTTTAGTCACGGGTTTTAGTCACGGGGTAGAGCGTGCGTCTGCGCATTTGCCTACGCTACTGCGCAACACCGTATCAAATATATCAAGCGCCATCAGTTAAACAAGTTATAGCATGCGCCAATACGTCATTTATAATCTTATATTAAACCCTCGCTACCCTCGTGCTTAATCAGTCTCGTGACAAAAACTCTATTTTAGCCACTTGATACTTAATATCTCATTTTTACCATTGTGGACTTTTTACATAATAAAACTACAATTATTTGTCATATGGCTCTTGTTTCATAATCTGTATGAGGCTATACCTAAATGGAATTACAAAATATTTTTCCAAATATTTTTTAATGAAGGTACGAATGTCAATGCAAACGTAATGGAAGCCCGGCGCATTCACCATTAAAGAAAAATACAGAACACACCCGTGTCATTTACTCTCATTAGCCTTTGCTCATCAGTTTACATTTTACATTCAGTGCGCATCCAGAGTTCTGCACGCCTTCGCACTCGGTTAATTTTAGCCTACTGCACTAGTAAATTAATGCCGTTCAAATGAGTTTTCCTACTTTCTGCTTTAACCTGAAATTGAAAGCAAACATTTTGCTTTCTAGATGAGTTCGTAAACTTATGTTAAATTAAAAATGTTTCATAAACTTATTGAAAACTGATTAAATTTATTATAAAAATGGTTTTATATCAGTTTCGTACTTACGATATTATTTATTGCGTGTAAAGTTTTTTTCATTTAATGGTTTTTATTTGTTTGAAAAAAGTTAAAACCTAAAACTTGTTTATTAGATTGCACACTCCAGTGCACCATTACCACTTTACGTGTCCCAGGCTATACTTTTCACTTTTTTCGTTTTTTAACACGCTAAATTGGTTTATGCGTTCGGGAATTGCGCAACGGGCGACAATTAAAACTTAATGAGATTTTTTTAAAGCGAATTCAGCATTTTAGCCGTACAGCCATTTTTGAATAGTATAATTTACGTGTATCGAAAATTTACGGAAAGAAACAAAAATTTATGTTAAAAATGTCGTTATATTTTGTAATAATACCTATATTCGTATATTCGTATGGTTATTACGAATACGCTTTCATACAATATGGCGCAAACATAAAAACAATAATGTTGCCATTTACAACCATAAAATATTTTATGAAGTATAGAAGGTTCGAATAAGTATGTGTGTATGAATGTGGAATAATAGTATGTAACATATAATAACTTTAAAGTACGATTCAAAGCACATCTTATAATATTCTGTTCATGTTATAGCACTTCAAACGTATAAAAATTATTTTTAAGGACGAAAAACATGTAATTCGTGTTTTGTTTAATATAGCTAGAAAAAATGTTCCATTTCTCAAACAAAATTATTAATCTGTAGAGTAGATGTATGAGTACTCCATATATATTTTGCAAAATGTTAATCTATTGCATAAATGTATTCAAGTTCGCCCAAAGTGGCAATCTATTACATTCCGGCGTGCGGGAATTGCGCCGAAGGACGATGGACGATAATCATACCTTTTACCATTTGCTACTTTCCTTTCCCGCCTTTAGCAGTGCCCTATTTTCACCACACTAACATTTATCACACATCAACTCAGCACTTGAATTAAACTCCCGAATACTAAAATTCCAAAATACCGACAAATCTAAATTCCTGAGTGTTGATCAAAATCTATAAATACTAACCAAACATGCAAATATTTAACTGAACAAAAGGGAAAATTTCAATATACAGTATGATAAAGAATAAAAGTTGATACAATGCAATCATATTCTAGAATAATACTACAATAATTCATCCTGTAGTTTATTGGTGGTTTTAAATCCATAACAAAACTATTAGATTGGCACACAATAAAAAAACAATGTAATTGATTGGTAAATTAATTATTACTCAATCCTACAAATAAATATTAGTCCCAAATAGACAATAAAAAACGTTGTTATATTTTAAACCGAATAGATTTGATAAAAATCTATTTTATCTTTTTTATTTATTTACTTTGTAGAAATTTATCGGCATTCAAGTGCTACCTGTCAATTCCAGCAGGTACAATTGAATCGACAGAATTATTACCAGTGAGGTTCATGTTTAAAGAATAAATCGTTTAAACTGCCCGCATTACTTTCCATGAATTGTTGTATATCTTTTTTTACCTTTTCAATTTCCGATTTAAATTTCACTCCACTACCTCCGGCATTCTCATTCAAAATTCTCCAACTTTGCATTCTATTTTCCTGCATTCCGAGCAAATAATTCTTGTGCGCAAATAAACGTGTAAGTGGCATGTCGGCGTGTCAGCGGGTCGTAAATTACCCAATTCTATTTCGCTTTTCATTCGGCGGTAGAATAATAATTTTTGTTATTCGACATGCTTATTCTCATTTCGTTTTTATTACACACAATTTATAATAGACCATAAATGTTCTAATTAATTAATTTGATTTACATATGTTTTAATACTTTCAATACAATCCAGAGTTATGTAGTAAAGTTTTTATAAAATAATAAAATCTGTATATATTTGAAATCAATATTTGTGAAATGCATAATCTGTCAGTAAAAGGTATAATAATTTTACCTATTTGTACGTTATAACAAATAATTTTTATTTGTTTTTATTCCGCAGGTCGTAAAATCACTTTGAAGTTGAAAAGCGATTGTGGTACTTTTTACGGAAACGGCTTCCGAGTAAAAGCAAACATAAAATTCTACTTGTTCTAGCCACATCTGAAAACTAACATTCAGCGAAGATAAAATTCTATTTTCAGTCCTCTTCTGTAATGCGAATGCGTCAACCCAACCTTCAATCTGCCATTTTGCTCATATTCTAAGTAAATATTTACTTCCACAGTGGATTTCAAATTTCAACGGAAACCCATTCATGCGATCAGTTTTTCAACTCAAAGTGCACTTTGCATTTTATTCTATGCCAAACAAAAATCTAACCTCAATTTTAAACTATCCCATATAATTATTAACATAAGATTATAGTAATCTTGCGCAATGTTTACATAAACAAAACTTACCCAATTCAATATTTTCTTGCTTTTGTTTTTAAGTTGTTGTTGTACACTATTTCTGTGCTGATAGACGTATGATGTCGTTTGATATTTGTTATGTTTTGCTGTTATTTTTCGTGTTAGGTTAGGCCGAGCATTAATGCGCCAGACGTTGTGACGGCGAAGATGAAGGCGGCGACGGTGGCGGTGTTCACGCTAGAACGACAACAGGTCTACTGTTTTCCTCTGGCGGCGGCGCTATCCCGGCCTGCGCACGTTAATGTTTATGTCGACGCGTGTGTGCCGCCTCCGCCAAACGTGCAGCGCCATCGCGCCGTGTCTAATCGATAACGATGCCACACAACATACAGAGGGCATATACATATTGAAATGCATCTTGTGTTGAAGAGGAAGAGAGATAAGATGGAAACAATACCAGTTACAGGTGAATTATCCCTTTGCAGAAAATAATATCTTGTGTTCGGTACTCCCAGCGACATCTACAAATCAAACAGTGAACAATTTTAAAGATAACTGTGATTTTAGGTTAGAACTTTATCCAAAACATGATCACACTTGTTTTATTGAACTTTTAGGCTTTGAGTTTAAAGTAAGCAAATATTCTTCAATAATTAATTTATTTTCTGTGTCATAAACTCTCTTCATATTAATATTTCATAGTTTCTACATTTTAATAATTTGACAATTCCAGTCGTCTTAAATACTCTAAAAGTCTAAAGTTTATTATTCTACTTCGCTAAATAATTGAACTTTTTCGGGAAGAACATGATTGATTACGTTTTTCTTATCAGTTACATTTCGCGTATACCAAACCGTCGGAAAATTAACATTAAAAACAATTCACTTACAAAACACAACATAAAACTTAACAGATTGACTACATTGTAAAACATCTACCGTCCTATAGAATTATTTAATACGTATAATAATAAAAAGTCAGTATCTCCCTTTATCGGTAATGCATTAAGTGTTAATGTTTGCTTCAGCTCTTTGAAAGAATCGTATTTGGCTAGGCAATAAGTAAGTTTCTAGCTGTAAGCACTACGGAAAATCGTTGAACGTATTTTTGATTTGCGGAGACTTCGGTAATCGTTGGATGACTTTATTGCAATTTCTTGCTCTTGCTTGTGCTTGGCTCGTTGTACATCATTGTGCCCTGACCACAACCGGTAAGATTGATTGAAGAATTACCGTAGAATATTTTGTTGCCCTAAAAAAATAAAAATAAATTAAAGTTGTCATTGTATATTTATAATAATATCTACCTTTTCCATGTACTCTTTGACATAGAAATTGCCGAAAAGTACAATGAACGACAGCATGTAAACGATGAGCGTGTAGTGCATCCACAGCGGAAATTCGCAGCCAGTGCGCAGGCCGTTAACGCCGAGTAATAAGGCACAGGTAAATTGAATCTAAACAATAAACAATTGTAAATTCTACAACGCAACAGACAGACATTGAATTAAATTTATATGACAGTTATTGCATTGCACACAAATGAATTTAGAGAATGTTTGCAAGAAATTACCAATTGTAAGATGGTCAGGTATTTTTTCCACCACAGGTATTGAGCGACCCGGGGACCGAGCGCGGCGAGACCATAATAAGAATACATTAGGACGTGGATCGCTGAGTTGACCATCGCTGGCAAGAATGCTAAGAAAAAATAATAAAAATATATTTCTTGATGTTTTATTGGAATAAAACTTACTTGAACCACTTGGTACCCATTTAATACCGATCCACCAGAAGGAAAACATGGTGGCATGGTGATACACGTGGAGGAAAGTCAATTGTTGATCCTTTTTACGTAGGATAAAGAAAAACGTGTCGCAGAACTCCAAAAGTTTCGAAAAGTAGTACCACCACACGGCATTTGTGATCTGTGAAAGATTACGTTTAAGATTTGAGGTTAAATTTTCTTTGTTTAATTAAAATACTTACTTGTAATTCGTCAGGCGTATATTTTTGTCGACATGGTTCACAGATGTAGCTGTATCGCAGTCGGAACGAGGCAGTCAACAGCTGCAAGTTAAAAAGAGGTTATAATTACACAACCTAACCTCATTTAACATTTACATTAATGAGTTAATGCCCTTCACAGTGTGATGAAACATGTGGCAGCGTTAATAAACTTGTTTAACATATAAACGTTTTGTGTAATATTATTAGTCACAACCTTATTTGTACATTTCCCATTTCCGTATTTAGTTTTGGCGATGGAAAGCTTACAATTGTAGAATTGATGTTTCTCTGTGTTCACTCGGCGTTAAATCGTTAATAAGACATAATCAAGAGACCAAACACGATAGCAAAAAAAATGGCAAGGTAAAAACTCAAAGTGAAATTTATGTAAACACATCGAACGGTACCTGCTTCAACTCACCGCGAATTCATCTTGAGCAAAGTGAAAGTTTTCCGCGATTGCAATTTCGCGATGCTAAATTCAATACTCGAGTTACAAGTGTTTCCTCACGCTTCACATATCCGAATGAAGTGAAACGTTTCAATTTGATTTCGACTCACCTGAACGGCAATGTAATAATTGAGCGCCGCCATACAGAGATTGTACGGAATCAGGAGCCATTTTAGACGAAAAGCTTTTCGCTTTGCCATCATTTTTGGCCCAATCCACACGATAAACAAATAAATTAGTGTATAAACTACTGTCGGCGCTGGTGAATCGACTAGAGGCCATCCTGCTGTTCTGGTATCTATAACAAAAAATTAATAATATTAAAAATATCGGGTAAATAGAGCGCAAGTCAATAATTGAATTATTGATTTATTTCAACGGTAAATAAAAACCGCAAAGAATAAAAATTGTTATTTTGTTAAAGTGCCAATTTAAAACTTACACCGCAACTCGAATATTATACTTTTTATTAATTGTTTAATATGTCTTGTATTTACCTGCAAAAGTCAATGTCCACAGATAATACTCGTAGATTCCTTGGGCAATGCTTGTAGTTGAGTTCATCATCGACGCCATGGCGACGACGCGACCGCCTTTTAAGTAAAAATAACGTATTAATTAATAATTCTGTCCGATTGGCGAAAACGACTCGCGAGACTAATTATTTGCTAATGCCAGCGGTATTCTGCACGTCTTCCAGTTAGCGAACGCTTAATAAACGAATAAAACACGATAATAAAGCGCTGATGAAGTTAATTAGTACACGTTAAACAATATACAAAGTTGGGCAGAAAATAAACCATTGAAAACAAATAAATATATTGCAGCTATTAACAGTATGTAAATCAGTGTTAAGTGCGTATTAGTTTTCAAAATGGTAAAAATTTGAAAATAAAAGAATTTGTTTGGATTACAATATGAAAGTTAGGTTAATTTGTAATTACGCATGCGCCACATACAAGTTCTATAATATTTTACTTATCTGCCAACGCATTTGTACGCATTTTACGGCCTAACATTAAAATAACACAAGTTTATTACCAATTGTGTAAAGAAAAATTTTACCGTTTTTCAATTTCTGATAGTATTGAGTTCGACATTCTTTATATATGTTTAATTAAAAAGTATTACGCACTTTTTTTTAATTTTACAAATCTTTTTTTAATTCATAATTTTTCCATTATTCAAAGTGTAACTTTCACATTATACACGAATGAATTACTTCAAAATTACCCGATGTGTCGAGTCGCATCAAGACATAAGTCATGCGCGTAATTACAAAATCGATTAGTGTGCCAAATGTCCATCGTCTCCAATTTCCAGTGCACCTAATGCACTCTAATAACCGCCGGATATGCAGAAAATAAAACTCGCCAACCGGTCTATCATCGTGATCATAAAGTCATCAAGTCATCAATAAATCATAAAAACACCAATCTGTGCAACGGCATACTTAATAAATTTAAAATTTTCTTATAAAAATTCAATCTGCTCATAAATAAAATCATTAAAAAATTTAAAAGTCATTGATGTCAGTGTTACACATAAATTAAATTATGAATAAAGTGCATTGATCTGTTTGTTTTCACCTTTTCACCTGCACGAGACTAAAAGTGCACATCAATGCATTTCAATTTGCATTCAATGGTTAATAATTGCTTTTTTAACTTAATTGTATTGTAATGAAGGTTGAAAGTTCAATTCTCTGCCGTCAAATAAAAATCAATTAAATTTTAACAACTTACCACTTTTTCAACTAATAACACTTAAATTTTACACCAAATTTTTAATTAATTTGAATTAAAACATTGTTGTAAATACTTTGGAATTTAAATTGCAACTGGATTAAATCCGAAATTTATCGATGATGAGTTTGATATCGACGATGCGTCGCGGTGGCGATGCGCCGAGACAATGCAACTGATTGCGTCCAGCGACGATGTGAAGACTGAATTGGAAAGCAAGTGCCGTTGCAAAAATATACGCGTTTGCGCCACCACAGTTGTTGGGAAGTGCAAGTGGTAATGCAGCAACGCGTACAAATGGTACCTGCTTGTTGCTTTGCTTACTTGTATCTACACCTACCACTAAAACTATGCTCAACAGTTAAACGTGTGTCATTAATGTTTCTTGGTCATGATATCAAAGAAAATCGAAAATTTCACTGTAAGATACGTTAGAAAGTGCAATTTTTGGCATTTTTTACTGCTATACAATTATAAACATCGTGACATTATTGTTCAATCATCATTATTAAAACGTTAGAAGATAACAGAAGCTCTATGTTCTTTTAAACTGCTAAATATCACTAAGTATTTTGTATTTTAGAAAATGTAACTGCCACTAGATGGCCTTAGTAAAATCTTAGTTTTATTGTTATATAATTAGTTTAAAATCTTCGTAAATAAACTTTTTACACGTTGCTATCGCTTCTTTTCGGGATTTATCTTAACTTTTGTGGAAATTAGTGAATAGTACTCATTTAACGACGGTTACACTGTTATAATATTACATAACCTACAAAATAACGTCATAATCGCCATTATTCTTTGAAGTAGCTAAGCATATTTACAACGTACCTATACAAAATTATGATCGGAAGTCAAAATTTATCGTCAATTATAACCAATACTGTCTATAACAAATTGTGAATATGTAAAACAACGTTGGTGGTTAATACGTCATCAATGTAAAGAAAAGATTTAAATGTTTTAAATTCTTTCATAGGAAAAAAATTATAAACAAAATTACAAATATTAAGTTAATTCAATAGAGTTCTACACAAAACAAAAAACACACTAAATTAAATTCAGTTAGTAATTAATTTATGATGACATTTACTAATGAGAGAGTACGAAGTTTACCGAAAATACTAATATTCAATAAATTATACTTTCGTAACAATTCCCCTTCTAAAATGCGGTAAAACAATGTCTGTCATTAGTTTCATCAAGAATAAACCTCCAAGTGCGTTGCACTTTAGTTACTTGTTTGAATTTATGACGATTCGAATTACCGCAGTGATTTCGATTGCGTAAACAGGAAATCGGTGAAATGTACTTCCACAGGCTCTGCGAATATTCAGATTTCATTACTTCCGAGCGCTCAATGCAGGCAAAAGCAAAAGAAATCGTATGAAACTGCAAGTAATGCGACTAACAAACACAAACGCACAGCTCTCGCTAAGATTACTAATTGCCAGCGCAGAGAAAATTTACATTAAGCCTTTTTTCCATCTCTCGACGATATTAATTCCACAGTATTGTCATTACGGCAATAAATTCTGTTTAAATGAAAGCCTGCGCGGACAATAATCCTCACTTAAAAATCAATTAGAAGATGTCGCAGCAAGTGATGCTTATTACAAAGAAAGTGTGAAGAAAACATAGTTTTCCAATATTTGTTCAACTAATATTGAATAAGTCAAAGTGTCAACAGTACGCTACTTAACTACTTTATTTTCCTAATTATTAGATTTCTAGAGACATTTTTGTATCACAAAATTACGAAAAGAAAATTTTTTCTTGTGATACACTAATAATGGGCTTTTAGTATTGTTTTTGTTTTCTTTTGTTTTTTGTTTGTTTTCTCTTGTTGGCATCAATATATGCTGCGCAGGCAGACGATTTTTGCAATACCAAAGAAATTGGGGCCGAATGGCGTGTGATTACCGCGTCTCTTCTTGTCTTGCAAGTCTCCGAATGGCACCAGCTACACATGCAACAAGATGCATCGCCGCATCATTTGCTCTCGCAAAACGGGTCAAAGAAAGCGGCCAAATTCGCACGATTCCGCCTCGATCCGCTACGTTTTGCCACGTTTCGCCAGCGATTACCGACGGAGTCTGTGTGCTCGTGGCTTCGTTTGCAAGCCGCTTATTAATTCGCGCGCGGCCTGTGACGCATGCAATCACGCGATTAATAAAACTCGTAAAATCTGTAAATGCACACAGCTGAAGATAAATCACATAGAGATGAAATTCTAGATCCAACAAACTGACAAACGCTCATGATTTTGGCATCAGAAAGTTGTAGCTTATTAATTTAAGGTATTTTAGAATGTTTGTTATCGGAATGTGACTAATTTGGTGTTGGGGGGTTTAACTTTAACGTCAAATTGCTACTAAACGCGTGTGTGAAGCATTAGTCACGAACATCCGCGTAATTTTTAAATTATTTTTTGATTTCAAGGTTTGCATTCAGTTTTGCTATCGGGATAAAGATATATAACCTCAAAATGCATTTCAATAGAACAGAAAATATTTCTAACCTTAAATCTTTAAACTCATTGTTAAATTAGCTTCATCAACCCTTCAAGAACGATAATTTATTCTAAATCTTTTTCATGTATAAGCCTGAATATAATTATGGAAGTTTTTATAAAGTTTGTTGACCTACTCTCAGTTTTCTTATAGCCAATTTGACCTAAAACAAGTCTTCTGCTAAAGTTATACGAATATGACCTTCGAAGGCGTGTTCATGAACCTCGAAATGCACGAAAATAAGGAATGCAACTTAACATTTCTGCGTCGATTCGCATCGTCAAGGCTTCGTAGTGAAATTCGACTTTCTCAAAAATGCAGTTTCATTTCGAATAACACGTACCTATATAATCCAATAATGCATAAATTCAATGGAATATAATTTTAGTACTTAACCTCAAATGTAACTAATTTATAGATTTGGTTATGATTTGACCTAATGACTTATAAATTATAAATGTCAGCGTAGATTGCTAGCAGACATCTGTAATTGAGTATGTCAATAATTAACAAATATTAATTACAACTATAAATTGCAATTAAACAAAATTCATCTGAAAACTAATTGAAATATTTTTGAAAATTTAAAAATAATAAAATTGAATCTTTATGTACGGAAGTTGTACCGCAAGTCAAGTGTAGGTAACTTTTATTTTCTTTTTTAAATTAAACTTCAACTCTGTTCACTACAATGAACTATAATTAGTTCCTATAGTATTCTGACGTCACAAAGTTATTTTAATTTTCACGCAATGTCAACACCAACTTGTGAAATTGCAAAGTCAATCATGCAGAAATAATGAAATTCAAGTCAACCGCCGTTCAGTTTCCTTCATCACTCATTCATTCACATGACATTCGCGCATGAGGATTTAATTATTGAACGCAATTTGAAGAAAGGCGTATTACATCAACGAAGAGAATATAATTATTTTGTAATTATAATTCACATAATCATTATTCAATTTAAGTAAATTAATTATCGCAGTATTCAGGCTTTTTGCTCGCTGTTTGTTTGATGGGTTAGAAATCGTTACAAGTTAGAAATGTGTGTGAAATGTGTTCTCTTGCTGTGTTTTCTTTGTAAACTAACCACTGGCACTTATAATTCTAACAGTATGCGTATTTGCTACTTACCGTGCATTTCGTACAAGTCCTGATTACCCATTTTCAAACGTCTTGAAATTATGCGCAATTTTCGTTTTCAGCGATTGTAACTTTTTACTACCACTTCAATTCTTGACAATTTCTACTTTCGATTTAAACGATTTTGATTTCCAGCGAATTTTAACCTTTGAACCTTCATTCGTTGATTCGTGTAAATTATAACTAGTAAATGCTTTCATTTTTAGTGATACTTGTTAGTTAGAAATATATTTTTGAATGGTTTAGGAACAAATTCGGTGTTGGCAGTGAACGGGCTCATCTTGCGGGAGCGACTGCCACAAGTTGCGACGCGGTATGCCGTCACTGCGGCACGGCACCGCCGCCGCCAATCGCGCGCCGGCTTTGGGTCTTGCCGCCTCCATCCTGTTTCCTCTTTTGTGCTTCACAGTTTCGCTATTTCCGGGGCACGACCGTGCCCTACTGCCGATAAGCGACTGCATTTAATCGATACCTACACCACAAAAGCCCTCTAAAATAATTTATTTCATTTGTTTATCATTAACACAATCATGGATTTTGCAAACTATTCGACAATTCGCGGAAATTTATATTATTTGCAATGACTAATATAAATTTGTAGGGATTTTTGCTTTATTTGGTTAAAAAAAGTTTTTATTTTCAAACTTGCGCTAGACTACATTTAATAGCATTAAATTAGCATTTAATAAGTTTGATATGAACACTAGTCCAAAGTTTCACAAACCACCCATAAGATGTGGAAACAATCTTGAACTACCCATCCAATAATACCGTCTTGATGGTGTTGTTGTACACAACGCCGTGTATAACCAGGTCTTGATTTAGAATAAGCCCAGCTGGTATAAGTGAATGGTTCAGCTGTTGGACTCCATACGAAATTACCTTTCTTTGCCAAATCCGAACCACCAATCCATATATGACCTGGTGCATCTCCTAATTTAAAAGCCAAAAATTATTTTTCAAACTTAACATATGTTGTTCTAGAGGTAGAATCATTTTTATATAATAAGCAAAGTACTGATTTACAATGGTTTTAATAAAGTATCTTTTAAAAACGATCACTTGTGAGGGAATAGCGTTCAATTTGCTTACTTTGTTTATTTTTAATACTCACCATCTCGTAAAACTATTGTTAATTCAACATTTTTATATGTACAATAAAATTTGGTGTTTACCGTCATGCGCTAAGACAGCTTCTAGTTCTATTTGCTCCACCTGTGATTCGACAGTTGCCAATTGCATACCATGAAAGATGCAATATTCCATTGCACCAAACCAATTCACCTATAGAATCCACAAAAATATTAATATAAAATTATTTAAATTAAATCTATTTTAGCCATTTTAGCATTTTACCACCATCATCAGAGCATTTCAACAACTATACGACGGACAAACATCAAGAATTAAACTAGGAAACAGACTATCTACCCACTTCCAGGTGTCAAAAGGCTTACGCCAAGGATGCTGCCTATCACCCACCCTATTTAATATATACATAAACAGAGCACTCAAAAACTGGAGAAATCAGTGCCATAGGATGGGCGTAGAACTAAGTGAGGACAGTGTTTGCACCGCAAACAGAAAAGCGGCGGAAGTTTCCAACTTCTCACGAATTCGGTGTTGTGTGATTATTTAGTGCCGATAGTGCGTCGCCGGGAACTTAGACAATAAATACAATTAAGTTATACAATAGTGCAATCACAAGACTAATATCGTAATATGTATATCAACACACTTAATGTTTAGAAAGTACAGTAGTTACGTAGATACAGTAGATAGTAAACACATTCGCAGATGAGCAAGGGTCCATCACGTCACACACTGACCCTTGTGCTAACAATTATATATATATCGCTGTATAGTAATTAAGCTATCTTAAGATTACAAATCACGAAGGGTCACTGCCCTTGGGCAAGTATGTACGCAAAGTTTTGCACTTAGACATTTTTGGATGAATAAAGTAGTAGTTATCGAGCAAGCATCGAGTGAAGATCGCCTCACTTCTCCGAGCACCTCTAAGACTCTCCGCTGCCTTACAACCAGCGTAAAATCCACACATCAGTCCTTCTGCTCTCAGCTTTGAACCCGGCGCCATCTTCAGAGCGCACGCTGGCTTCACAGACAGGAATCTATACACAGTACACTTCGCTGATGATCAGGTGGTACTCGCGCAAGAAAAGGAAGATCTGGAATTCATGACGAGAAAACTACTAAAAGAATACGAGAAATGGGGCTTAACAGTAAACCAGACCAAAACTAAATATCTCTGTGTAGGAAACCAAGATGAAACACCATTGCAGCTGGAAGACGGAAACGTGATTGAAATCTGTCAGGAGTATACATACTTAGGAACAACAATAACAACAAGCGGTAGAACAGAGCCCGAAATAAAGAACAGAATACAACAGGGCAAGAAAGTTATCGGATGCTTAAACCCAATCTTGTGGGCCCAAAATATCTCGAAAAAAAATAAAAAACTCCTATTCAACGCCGTGCTGAAAATCTATTTTAGCTACATTTTGTTTTGCCAAGTAATAGTCTTTCGCAAATACGTGTGGAAAGACTACCACACACAAAGCAGAAGTGAGAAAAACCATCGACTTCATTTTGATGAAACGCACCATTACATATCTTAACGTGTTTTATTCTGTGTATTTATAGTAGATATGGTGGCTAATATCTAAACGCATATAGATCTTATCAATTTGTTGATACATAAACATATATCAACAGTGCAAAATATTAATTCATAAAAGCTTATATTGTGTTTGGATATTGTATACTGTGTAGCGTCATTGCTTAATATAAATATTTATAAAAAAGAGATTTAATTAACATTGATTAGTAATATTGAGAAAAAGGGTTGTTTCAAATATTGTGAACAAAACCAATGTGGTCTATGGAGCCCTGGACCAATGTGCTCCCTTATTTTTTAAACTGCAAGAATACCAAGTTTATTATTCCAAGTGGCACAAAGAAGTTTTTGCTGGTGACTAGGTAATATATGCAACCAGTCAAACTTTTTGAGACCAATTAAATATAAAATATTAATTAATCAATTAATATAAAAATGTAAAGTTACGTTGGTATGAAAAGAACATATAGAATCTATATTACATCACAATTAATAACTTACGAATGGCTCGGTGAAGTTGCTGCCCCCAGTTCAAACAATTTGACAAGACACATTTTGATTCACGACATCGCAACTGACTGTGTGAATAGGCAACTTCACAATCATTGGTAGTAGTACAACAATGTTAATAAATATTTAGAATCTAATCACTTTTATAATGGAAGCAGGTGGATGCCTTGAACCCTGATACCTCTATATAACAGCGGATTTTCGCGCATTGTAGAGAAATGCAATTGCTGATAATTGAAATAGAAATTTAAAAAATGAAATAAACAACGTACTCGCAGGTACTTTCTTGAATTGAACTTGTATACTCGAAGAACTTGTCATACCAAAATAGAGTGACCTCAGTATAGCTAAGCTATTTAAAAAAAATAGGTTACGTGATTATGGTATCTAGGCTCCAATTGGCTGCATAAGTTAGTGAGGAAATTAAGTAACCATCTTTTTAATTAAAATAAAATACTTCAAAAACATAAAATCATTTACTTGCTTTCAAGTGATTAGGTGCGTTTGATAGACAAATGATTAAATTTGCTTAACGTACTTGAGGCGAATGTTTTTCAGAATTTTATAATTTTGAACAATTGTATGTGCGTAGCCGTTTGTAAGGGCGACGGTGTGTCACAAAAAACTCCCGAGTTCGTAGTCTGGTGGTGAGGTGAACATTATAGAGTTGTAAATTCTATAACTCTTACAATATCTTGCACGATCATAGATACAGCACAACGTCGTTGGAGCTGTCTGAATAATTGAAGAACACAAGGGAAAGACAAGACTGATCAAAACATGAAATTTCAATGCAAATTTTTTTTTTTTTTAAACCAGCAAACAGAAATTAGCAATTAATTAAAGTTTAATATCAAACATTAATTAAGTAATTAATATTCACAGGCCACCCATAAGATATCAAAACAATCTCGAACCCACCATCCAATAATACCATCCTGGTTGTATTGATCTACGCAACGTGATGTGGCAGTATTCCCACTGTTTGGCGCACCACCGATCCAATTGGTATAGTTAACTGCTGTAGCCGTAGGTAACCATACGAATTTATCCTTATGTGACAAATCAGAAGCGCCAATCCAGACATGACCTGGCGCCCCTCCTAATTTAAAAGACGAAAAAAAAAACAGTTTTATAGAAACAAAAATCGCTGTAGGTAAAATAAAGTTTGGGGCTTACCGCTATTAGCTAACACAACTTCTAAAGAATTTTGCTCAAGCTGCGATGAAACAGTCGCCAATCGCATACCTATTGAGGTGCAATATTCCACTGCACCAAACCAATTCACCTATAAAAACCAAAAAAATTATGATATAAAATTATTTAAATCAGATACCTATGTTTGTAATTATCTTTTAGTAACTTTATACTTATTGGTCTACCTACACTTTGTGTTGCCATGTAATAGTTTTTCGCTAATGCATGTGGAAAAACGACCACACACAAAGCACAAGCGAGAAAAATCATTGACTTCATTTCAACTGAAACAAATCGACAAGTGTCTAAATGATTTTATTTCTGCACTTTTATAGTAAAATGGTGACTATTATCTAAATGGAGAGAGGTCACTTGTGCAAAATTATAAATATCACTTGCTTCGAGTACATCATGATGAATTATACTTTGATTTGATAAAGATTTTCGTAAGAAACACTCATGATCACTTCGATTAGGTATAACAAATTACACTACTTTACTGTATATTTAAAGAAAAATTCCAAATAATTGTGATAAAAAATATTTTCATAAAATATATTCATAGATAATGTTGCAGATAGTAATCTACCCTCAGTCAACAAGTGTGACTTGTCACATTCTAATGAATTCATGAAATAAGTAAGAAGCCAACCAATGTTTAATTCTTTGCTGTGCGGCATTTACTTGAACTTTCAAGTTGTAAATATATTAAATTGGAGTAACAACTAAGTTGCTTACCAGTTACAAATACAGAAGAATCCCTACTAATATTATAAATGCGAATGTCCTGATGTTTATCATGCTTTCACGCAAAAACTACTTAACACATCATCTTGAAAATTTGTACACATATTCTTAGTGGTCCCCGAAAGGTTATGGGCTACTTTTTATTTAATAAAAAAATTATTTTTTAAATAAAATAAAGAAATTGTTTAGCCAATAATACCTCTGCATCTGGCTAATTGACTACTTTAACGCCATCTAGCATTCCAGCAATGAAGCTCAAGCCTAGTACTATAGTACCATCACATTGTATTATCACACTGTATTACCGACAGCTACGTCAATATCAAATCCAATTGACTACACTATGGAGACTGTACACTATACTTCCATAAACTATACTTTCAGCCATTTTAAACTTCCCGTCATTCTACTTCATTGTTACTTCTTCTGTGATTACAGACGCGTACGGAAGCAACTTCATTAATTTCTAATATTTATTTGATGGATTCAACGCGAGCGAAGCCGCGGGATAAAGCTAGTAATGTATAAAATTGAACGGAAGAACTACGCCTGCAATAATGAATTATTGTCGATACAAATTATGTCCGAAGAGATAATTTTTTTTCAGGCCTTAACAGGTAGGGTAAAAGAGGGTAATGGGGGTCACTTAAGGGAGAACTCAAATATAATTTAAATTATAAACAAAATACTTATTGCAATCGCTTATAAGCATTGTTTACTTAAATACCTATTATTTGAAATAATTTTCAGTCACTTTGACAATCAATTTTTGAAATTATTAAAGTTTAAAAAAAAACAGATTTGACTCCCATTACACCGACATGCGGGTAATGGTGGTCACCCTGGGGACAATCGGAATCAAACGAAATCTAGCAGATATCGCAAACATAATATTCCGCAAAGTCCCACCCAGTGCATTTCACATGAGCCCATAGCCCAAATGAAGTGCTATGAACCACATTTAATTGTTTTTTTTTTTAAATCGTTGCACATTTGACATCAGTTTTCCAAATTTTCATCCATCGCCCTGGCATAAGTCATCAGTGCCAATATAGGAATCATAAGTTTTGTTACTTTCCTGCAGTATCGTTTCTGCATGAAGGCTATTGAAAAATAAGTCACATTGCTTTTTATAGGCCATTTAGAGCGGACTAAAGACAAAAAGATCCATTGGGAGTCGCATGACTCCCATTGCCCACAATTGCACTATTGTGAAAAAAAAAACAAAAAAAATATTTCTTCAAAACATTAATGTAATCTGAACTGCACATCACGATTTTGAATGTTTAACTAAGACTATATAAAAGTTTCATTCGAATATTGCAAGATATTCGACACTTATCTTCTAATTTGCGTGGACGTAAAATTAGATCAGCGGAGCTCAAAAATAAAATATTGGCGTATCTCAATGATACACGCACCGATTTGCATGATTTTTTGGGGGTGGCAGTGGGGGGCCAGAACGGAGGTAGGAACGCCGTTTACGCGGTACTCGTAACTATTGTTTCGTGGATATATGGGTGACTCCCATTACCCGCTGACTCCCATTACCATACTCTCCCCTACCCGCACCGCTTATTTTCCCGGGCGTTCAACCACATAAGCTCACGAGAAGTCCAATCCAGCTCTTAAGGTTCACTTCACATCTCTTGTGTGACCATAGGTTCGGATCGGGTTGCGAATAGGGATTGTTCAAGTAACAATTTTATTTAATAAGCTTGACTTGTCAAACTTTCTTTATGAATATTCAAGGCGATCGCAAGGTACTAAACCTAGAACAGGAACCACTTTATTTTGTAGATATTTAGATGGATGGAAGTAATTCTATTCAAAATTTGAGATATCTGCTCTGTCCATACAAACTCTTCCAGATGATGCTTTAGCCGTGCTACGTCTTTCTGGACGAGTAGCATCAATTTGAGTTTTGACCTCAACTCTCCACGGCCCTTGTGTTGTTATTCGTGTCAAAACTTGCCCAGAACGTTTGCTAACTTCAAAATGGGGATCCCAGGTTTTTGAGATATTTTGATGAGTTATTTATATATCACAAATTAATCTATAATATAAAAATTCAAAATCTGTTGGTAAGCGCATAACTCAACAACGCCTAGACCAATTTGGCCTATTCTTTTTTTTAAATGTTCGATATAATTCAAGGGTGGTTTTTAGGGCGAGAAAATTTAGAATAATTGCAGGGAAAACTCTAAAGACAGCCCTTTTCTATAAGATACAAGTTGGCATTGAGATTCACTCATAGTTATAGTTAAATTGTTGAATCGGAAATAGCGCACTAAAGTGCATTATTAGTAATCTTGATATACTTAAACATAAATCTTTTGTTCGTGTGTATGTGACTAAATTCCTCATTGACGGCTGGACCAATTTTGATGAATTTTATTGTGTGTGTTCAGGTGGGTTCGAGAATGGTTTAGATTCACAATTCGGTCTACTAGGAAATGTTCTAGTTCCAGTTTTTTTATTCCAAAAGTTAAAAAAATACCAAAAAAATAATTGATAGAAAGAAGGTCATTTTGTGGCAATAATTATAATAATGAATTTGTCAACTTTGTAATAGAAACTGTGAGTTATAATAATGGATGAAGATGTGGCTAAAGAAGTCTTTCAGGAATTTCGACAATAATCAGTAAAAAAATCGGGAAGAAGTTTGGCACGACAGCTACTTAAATATAAAATATCAATTAATCTATTAATATAAAAATATGAAGTTACGTTGGATTGAAAAGAACATTGAGAAACCAACTTATGTCTTACACAATCATACAAGTTCAATTCTATATTAAATCACAATTAATAACCCACGAATGGTTCTGTAAAGTTGCTGCTCCCAGTTTAAACAATTTAACAAGACATTTTTTGAATTACGATATCTAACTTACATTGTGAATAGGCAATCACACAATCACTGCAATAAAAATATTATTACAACACTGTTTATGAATATTTAGAATTTGATCGGTTTAAAATATAAGCAGGTGGATGGATGCCTTGAACTTTTATCTACCTCTGTACAGCAGCGGATTTTTACGCATTGTAGAAAAATGCGGTCACTAGTAATTAAATAGAAATAAAAACATGAAATAAACAATGCACTTGCAGGTACTTGCTTGAATTGAACTTGTATACTCAAAGAACTTCACTTATCAAAATAGAGTGAACTCTGTAAAAAGGGTAGCTAAGCTATTTAAAAAAAAATAGATTACTTGATTATGGTTTCTTGGCCCCGATTGGCTGCATAAGTTAGTAAGGAAATTATGTAACTTTCTTTTTAATTAAATTAAAACACTTCAAAAACATAAAATTATTTACTTGTTTTTAAGTGATTAGGTGCGTTTGATAGACAAATGATCATCAAATTTGCTTAATTCCCCGGATAACGTACTTGAAGCGAATGATTTTCAGAATTTTATAATTTTAAACAATTGTGTGTACGGTCATGTCTGTAAGGGCGACAGTCTGTCACAAAAACTCCAGAGTTTGTAGTCTGGTGGTAAGGTGAAGATTTTAGAGTTGTAAATTCTATAACTCTTACAATTTCTTGCACAATCATAGATGCAGCACAGCGTTGTTGGAGTAGTCTAAATAATTGACGAACACAAGGAAAAGACAGCGAAGACTGATGAAAACATGAAATTTCAATGCAATTTTTTTTTATTTTTTATAAACCAGCAAACAGTTATTAGCAATTAATTAAAGTTTAATATCAAACATTAATTAATTAATTAATATTCACAGGCCACCCATAAGATATCAAAACAATCTCGAACCCACCATCCAATAATACCATCCTGGTTGTATTGATCTACGCAACGTGATGTGGCAGTATTCCCACTGTTTGGCGCACCACCGATCCAATTGGTATAGTTGACTGCTGTAGCCGTAGGTAACCATACGAATTCATCCTTATGTGACAAATCAGAAGCGCCAATCCAGACATGACCTGGCGCTCCTCCTAATTTATGAGACAGAAAAAAACAGTTTTATAGAAACAAAAATCGCTGTAGGTAAAATAAAATTTGGTGCTTACCGCTATTAGCTAACACAACTTCTAAAGAATTTTGCTCAAGCTGAGATGAAACAATCGCATACCTCTTGAGATGCAGTATTCCACTGCACCAAACCAATTCACCTATAAAATTCATAAAAATAATAATATAAAATTATTTAAATCAGATACCTATATTTGTAATTAGCTTTTAGTTACTTTATACTTATTAGTCTACCTACACTTTGTCCTGCCATGTAATAGTTTTTCGCTAATGCATGTGGAAAAACGACCACACACAAAGCACAAGCGACAAAAATCATCGACTTCATTTTAACTGAAACAAATCTACACGTGTCTAAATAATATAATTTCTGGGCTTTTATGGTAAAATGGTGACTATTATCGAAACGGAGGGAAGTCACTTGTGTGCAAAATTTCAAAAATCACTCGCTTCAAGTACATTACGATGATTTTCATTTTGGTGTGATAAAGGTTTTCGTAAGAAACACTCATGATCACTTCGATTAGGTATAACAGATTACACTATTTCACTGTATGTTTAAG